TGCTTCTCCAGATTGAGAAGTCACAGCTGCGATGACTTGGGCATGTGTTGCGAATGCCTCCAGAAAGGAACGCTAAGCAACTGTTCCTTGGAAATCCGACCGGCAAATGACCCAGGGGTCGGCCAAGATTAAGCTGGTGCAATCATATGGAAGGAATCTGTTCCAGACTGCATTTGTCTTTTGCCGAAGCTCAGAATCTGGCGCAGGATCGGGAACGTTGGAAGCTCTGTCTGACGTGTGTGCCTCCGCAACCCGAAAGGAGCAGGGGGATGGAAGATGATGATGGTGATAAATGTCGGCTCGTCCGCAGTTTAACTTATGACGATAAGTCTTCCTGGAGGGGGTGGTGGACAAACGTGAGTTTGAAACATGAATTTACGATCACAATATAAAATTAAAATAACAGTTTATCCATAAACGCATTTTGTTTTATTATGAGTACGCTAATTACGTTAAACATGGAGCACTACTCTGAAATGACTACGAAGAGCCATTCTATGAATCACTATAATCACTGCGAAAGCACTAGTGGAACGAAACTGCAATTGCTGGCATTTTGTGTTTCTTATGAGACGATCCGAGTCGACAGCATTGTATTCGATGTGCCAAAGGCTTGATTTTAGCCTGATAGCGTTGCCAAAAGCAACAAAATTTTCAGTAGCCGAAACGGAAATATGCTGTCATTCATTTATGCAGCCAGCAGTTCCCACCAATATGCTGCATATTCCAGAGGTTCAGAAAGACATTATCTCAACAAACTATAAAAAAAGGACAGGTACTTTAATTAGTATGGAATTTGTCTCAATTGTCAATTTTATATGTCCTTACAAAATTCGGATCAACAGTTGATTTCTTGTGTGCACATGCCAACGGGACTTGTTTACATGAACAAATTTTGAATGATTCATTGATTTACTCACTGATTGCAGATTCGCAAGGAGAAATCTTCAACTTCGATGCAGCAATGCGAGAAAGCGTAAGAAATATCGCTAATGACTTCCGCGCCTTGGTGGCTCAAGGAAGAGCTGGAGAAACCACGCCACCTGGGAAATATCCGGTTAGGCAACCTCCAGCTAAGAACATGAAAATTCTCGTAAGTACATGAAGCTGGTCTATGATATACGATTATTATTACGATTAGAATTTGCTGTGCATAACTGGATTACTGTATTCCAACGATAACAGAAATCAATGACGAGGCATGAGGGAATACATACACTAATCGTGGAAGCCTGACATCAATTTGGCAACGTTTGAGCACCGAGGGTCAGAGTGCGTATTTTTGATACAAAATTCGTACGATCGTCGATCTCCCTGTACTAAAGCACACATTCTTGTTTTCGGTCAGAATTAAGTATTAATTTTCATGATGTAGGATGCTGAATACATGTTTGCTTTCAGAGCAAAAACAAACCTTTCTGTCCGTCAACCGCTAAATCCCTACCTCGAGTGTAGCTATTTTCAGGGCATATGGCCAATTTTCTGGGCTAAAGCAACCATGTACCTCTCCTTCCAATTAAATTAAATTCCATACACTGCTTGAATGCCTTCTAACAGTCATCTGATAACAGCTGATGTAGTCGGACTGCAGTCTAACGTAGTGAAACTTATGAAAGCAGGATATTTGTGCTAAAAAAGGCATCATCCCCTTGCTCACCGCTTAACGGGCGAAATGAACAGATCGTTCGTAGATTCTTGGTGGTATTTCAGCACCTAGAATGATCTGATGCTCCTCACCAAAAAGAGCTGCAAAAAAGATATAAAAAACAGGATCGTGCTTCAGGTGATTCCTTTGTTTCCAGGCGTGGAACAACACTTTGGAACAGCTTGCAGTGGATTTGGCTCGTTCGTGCGAATTCGAACATGATACCCGTAAAAAGGAACCCTATTACGGTAAATTTGGCCAGAACCTGGCTTTCGAGTCCGCTCCACTAGACACTGTGTACACGAAGGACGTTGTGCTGAAACTCGTGAAAAGTATGTCTCAAAGTTGGTTTGATGAACACTACGATTTTCGGTACGGTCCGCTGCCCTCTGGAGTCATGATGTCGTACCTCCATTATACACAAGTAAACAATTCTCAATGAACTCATGACTCAATTACTTACAGAGCGATACTTGATTTCAGATGGTTGCAGAGAAAACCAGCAGCATCGGCTGCGCTTTCGCCGTGTGCTGGCCGCTGAGAGGCTATGCAAAAAACAACTACTACAAATACGCTTATTTCGTGTGCAACTACTCTCCAATGTAACCAGACCGTTCTGTTAAGACAGGAAACATACATTTTTGGCAAATCATTTTTCAGGGGTAATTGGATTGGAGAAGCACCTTACGAAAGTGGTAATCAAGAGTGCACGGAAGCGGGATACACGCGAAGGGAGGCAAACGGCCTTTGTTCCTCTGACAGTAGCCCTGTTGCGAAATTTACTGAGGAACAAAGACCTGTAGCCGCCAAAACCACAGCAGCTCAGCCCCAAGGAAGAACGGATGTGCCAAAGATAAAGATACCCGATGGTAATGAAGTATCACATAATACATACCAGATCATAGAATCTAATAACATAATGATACCAGTCTCACTGAACAAGGCAGCGCTAATCCGTTTTCAAAAACTTTAAAAACGATATTAGATTTCTAGCTAAAGGTAATCTGTGATCATGATACAAGTTTGTGACTCATCAGTCAAAGTTTTCAAACAATTGATACCGGAAAAACCGTCTGCTACAGTACCACGCAATGAAATTAAACTACGTTTTATTAACTACAGGATCAAGAGTATGTAAAACATGCGGAAATAAAAGGAATCAATGACGGCTGGGACGATGGCGGGGAAATTGCAAGTGCTGAGAAAGGCGTTTTTCGACAGAGCAGTTTTGACCACCGCGAAAAGGTAGGCTTTAATTCGTCAAAAACTCAACCTGGTGAACGTTTCGAAAACTAAACAGCGAGAAAATCAATGGATTGAAAAGCAGCCGCATATATTTCTGTTTGTTGTAGCGAATATACTTCAACTCAAACCTGGTCGTCGAATAATCACCCGTCTGAACAGAGGAAAGCATGATTCGTCAAATCCGAATATTAGCTAAAATTTTCCTGTCAGTGATGCTCCCTGGGCTCTAATTTACATTTTATAATATACAAATATAATATAAGTCAATGACAATTTAATTAAGAGTACGGTAGTTGATGATCACTTCGTTGCAGCTGCACAGAAGAACAGAGTGCATGAATTCGAACCGAACGATAATGCGAAAATGACGAAAATGGTGAATAAGTATCGGGCGATCGTTGCACGCGGAGAAACGGAACAACCGTCAGCGAAAAACATGAACTCAGTGGTACGTACAGAAGTCCAGAGTGTAAATGTGAAAAGATTGTATGGCCACGGCCGATGTGCTGGAGATTCGTCCGAACAAA